ACTTTTTTTTTGGAGATTGGTCTCTCTGTGTAGCACACTGGCCCCAAATGTGCGTGTGGAACTTCCTACCTCAGCCTCTTGAGTCCCAGGATGACAGGCATCCGTCCCATGCCGTTTCCGGGAGGCCTCCGCACAGCACCCTCTTTCCTCTCCTGCCTGGATTCCTTCTTGCGCGGAGCTCAGATCCCTCTTAGAACCGCAGCGGCCGCAGCAACGGTTGGCCATTCTGCGGGGAGTCCCCTGCCATGACCTGGACTTGGCAGGAGTACAGCTAGGACTGTCCGTACGGTGGACAGCAGCGTGCAGCAGGGGCGGGGCGGGGCGGGGCGGGGCTGTGGGCCAGGGAGGCGGGGTCTTGCGGTCAGGGAGGCGGGGTCTTGCGGTCAGGGAGGCGGGGCCTTGCGGTCAGGGAGGCGGGTCTTGCGGTCAGGGAGGCGGGGCCTTGCGGTCAGGGAGGCGCGCCTTGCGGTCAGGGCCGCCCATCCACCCATCTGTTCAGCCCCTCCAGCGCAACAGAAAGCTAGAGGTGGGGTTCCTTCATCAGATAAGATAGTTTCCATGTGGGTCGTGACCCCAGGGGAGAGGTCTCAAGGAGACAGCTTCAGCAACTGTGAAGAAATCAGCCCGTGTGCTTTTGGTTGCACAGTCTCTTGGTTCAAAGCCAAATTGGTTCATTCTAGCTGGGCAGCTTTGGACTATTACCTAACCTCTCTGTGCTTCTGTTTCTTTTTATTATGTATTTGTAATTTATACTGGGAATTGAACCCAGGGCCTCTGCGCTGAGCGACATCACCAGTCCATTCTAATTTTTTATTTTGAGACAAGGTCTCACTAAATTGCCTACGCTGGGCTTGAACTTTCGATCCTCCTGCCTCAGCCTCCCAGAGTTCTGGGATTCCACGTGTACACCACTCCGATGGCCCAGTTTCTCCTTCCTCCACCTCTTCCTCCTCCTCCTTTTTTTTTTTTTTTTTTTTTTTTTTGGTATCAGGAATCAAACTCAGGACCTTGTGTTTGCCTGACAGGCACTTATGCCACTAAGCTATGTCCCTGTCCCCTTTTGTCTTTCTGAGACAGGGTCTCACTATGCAGCTCAGGCTGGATTTGAATTCACTTTGTACCCAGGCTGGTCTCGATGTTGCAAAGATCCTCCTGCCTCGGCCTCCAGAATACCGGCATTACAGGCATGCGTCAGGACGCCCAGCTTGGCTCTGTTTCTTTTCTTTACGCTAACTATATTCACGTCATGGACTTGAGTTGTGTATTTAAAGAGGAAAAATAGCCAGGTGTGATGGTTCCTGCTGGTAATCCCAACACTAGGTCACTGACCGCCGCAAATTCGAGGCCTGCTCACAAAGTGAGTGCAGCGTGAGTTCAAAAATCATCCTGGACTATACCGCCAGCCCGTCTCGAGAACAAATAAAGAGAAAAATATGTAAAATTCCCAGAGCGGCCGCCCTGCGGGGTGTTCCCCACCCCCACTCCCACCGCCGTCACCTCCACCTCTGCGCCCCGCCCGCAGCAGTAATCTGTCACCCTACTCGCGGTGTAACAACTCACTTTCTGCGTCTCGGCGGGGAGCCCGAAGGCAGGTTTGGCGCAGAGGAGGGGCCGGGCCGCCAGTATGGAAGGACGGACGGACGGACGGACGCCCCATGGTTCTCCGGCGCCGCAGCCTTCGCAGGTTCCTCTGGGGCCAGGACGAGTAACGAAAGCTACTGCGGACCGCGATCGCGCTCCCGCCGTGCCCCGCCTCCCAGGACGCGCGCGCGGCCCCACCCCCACCCCCGCCGCCGATTGGCTCCAGGCTCGTGACGTCACGAGGGCTTTTTAAAGCCTGGTTGCCGGCTCGCTCCGCAGAAGGCTGGGCGCCTGGATGCGCCGGGGTGGCGGTGTGGGCTGCGAGGAGTCCCAGGGAAGCGGCCGCACGGAGGTAGGGGGCCCGGCACAGCAGTGCACCGGGAAGCCGGGTCCGCGAACGTAGGGAGCAACGCAGGGAGAGTCGCGTAGCGAGGAGCCGGGGGTCCTAGTGCCGAGGGCCGGGAGGCAGAAGGCCCCGGGAACGGGACCCTGGGCCCCAGCCCCAGGATCCGCACCCCAACTCGTAGGCTCCAGCGCCTGGGCGAGGAGGCAGGAGGCACTGGAAGCTGGCCGTCCTCAGGTTCTGCCCCTCACCTGAGCCTCCCCGGGGAGGGGGACACCTGCTTTACACCTGCAACTGCCAAAAGACGTAAATGTTTAAGGACGGGCAGCTGACTTCAGAAAGGATCCCGATGTACATTTGGTGTTCATTACTAAACGTCCGCTTTTCCTCCCATGACCTCTCCTCCAGGTAACTGATGACCGGGCCGCAGAGCCCAAAGCCAAGGTCCCTGCCTGCGGCGGCCTGAGCCCAGCTCCGGAGGGGCGGCCTGCACCTCGCCTCCACATGGGGAACCACTTGGCGCCCGCCGCCCCCTTCCTGCCGCACCTCCAGGCCCTGCACGTGGTGGTTGTCGGGTTGGACGCAGCCGGCAAGACCTCCCTCCTCTACCGCCTTAAGTTCCAGGAGTTTGTCCGGAGCGCACCCACCAAGGGCTTCAACACCGAGAAGATCCGGGTGCCCCTGGGCGGCTCCCGCGGCATCACTCTCCAGGTGTGGGACGTCGGGGGTCAGGAGAAGCTGCGGCCACTGTGGCGCTCCTACACCCGCTGCACCGACGGGCTAGTGTTCGTGGTGGATTCCGCAGAGACCGAGCGGCTGGAGGAGGCCAGAATGGAGCTGCATCGCATCAGCCGGGCCTCGGACAACCAGGGCGTGCCAGTGCTGGTGCTGGCCAACAAACAGGACCAGCCTGGTGCACTGAGCGCGGCTGAGGTGGAGAAGCGGCTGGCAGTGCGCGAGCTGGCAGCTGCCACCCTCACCCATGTGCAGGGCTGCAGCGCTGTGGATGGGCTGGGGTTGCAGCCGGGCCTGGAGCGCCTCTATGAGCTGATCCTCAGGAGGAAGAAAGCGCCCCGGGCCGGCAGGAAGCAACGGTGACCCCCTGCTCCCGCCCGCCATGGGGGTCTGCACACTCCACAGCCAGCCCGGGCCTGTGCCAGGAGCACGGGCCCCAGTCCGGTGCTGCCTGGGGGACAGATGGGACAAGGGGGTCTCCCACACCCTCCCTATCATATCTGAGAAGCTGGGGCTGCCAGACAGGAGCCTGAAGTGTGGCCGCCACACTACCTCCACCTGGTTTCTCATTCCTTCTCAAGCTCTGTCATTGGTTGTGTGCTGGGCATGGGAGTTGGAGGAGAATGAACTAGGAGTGAGGAAGACCAGGCCCCCCAACTGGGGGTCTCCTCAGATGCTATTTCGCAGTGTCTGTGACAGGGCCGAGGACTCTCATCCGTATTGGTGGATCCACAGCCCTCTTTATGAGCCGTGTGTGCTTGCTACATGATTATACTTTTTACCATTTGCCTGTACGTTATTAAAGATGACTGTACACCTCACGCTCGCTGCTTGGCGGGGCTGGCGTGCTCCTGGCTCCTTGGCCAGCCCTGGGAGGAGTCTCATCTGGAAGCTGAGTTTGCAGAATGAGCTCCCAACAACTGCACTGTCAGCGAGTCGGGGTGGCACACACTGACCTTGGCACTCAGGGAAGCTGAGGCAGGAGGACCACAAGTTGGAGCCCAGCCTAGCACAACTTGGCAAGACACTGCCTCTGAAATAAAAAATGAAAATAAAAAAGGGCTGTGCATGTAGCTCACTGCAAAGCGCCTGGATTCAATCCACAGGGAAAAAAAGTGGGCTGTGTCCTTCTGGGATAGCTACGAAACTCAGAGGGGTTGTGCAGCCCCTTTGGCTGCTGCCTGCCATCTGCCTTGGGGTCACCCCCTTCCTGACTTTGCTGTCTTCCCCCCACCCAGCTGCCCCTGGGTTTGCCCTGGGTGCCGCTGCTGGCGTCAGTGGCCACTCAGTTCTTGGGGTCCCCGTCCCCACCCCTGCCAGTTGGTCTGGAAGAGTACGGATGGAAAGTGCCTGTCTTGGCCCCGGGCCATGGACAGCCCGCAACTGCTGACTGAGCTCCACGGCAGGCATGCAGGCAGCCGGTGACTAAGCCTGAGTTCTCCAGCTCTGAGGTTCTCAGAAGGGGCTGTCACCCCTCAGGGATAGGAGAGGCAAGCAGGCTGCACGTTGGTGCTAGAAGAGAAAGCTGGGCCCCCATCTGATGGCGGAGAATGACCAGAGCTCCCTCATGGACTCTGGGTAGGCGCTATCCGTGCCCTGCGCAGCCCCCTCCAGCCCCATGCATGCCCTGTGTGAACCCAGCAACCCGGGTGGGTGTGGGTGCTCCAGGCTGAGAAAAAAGGGCAGGGGAGAAAGGGCTGGCACTGCCCTGGCCTGAGGCCTCCAGGAGCTCTTTCCCTTCCCGTAGCTGCACCGCCCTCCGCCTCCCTGGCCCAATGGGCCTGCCCCTGTGACTCCCAGGGCTGCCCAGGCCTGTGTCTGCCTGCCCCTGCCCCTGGAGCTGAGGGGCTGGCTCAGCAGGGGACACACGCGACCTCAGCCTCCCCCAGGGGCACACCTGTGACTCAGCCCGGTGTTCTGGGGCAGAGCCCTGCAGGCCAGGAACAGCTCCTGGGTCTGGCTCCACCACTCCCACCCTGGAGAACCTTAGGCTTCTGCCTCCAGCAGCCAGGGCAGCAGGGCTCAGGATCCAAGGAGGGTGGGATGTATCCTCTGCGTCCTGGCTGTCAGCTGGTGGCAGATGACAGCAGCAGGGTGAGGAGCAGCTTGGGACTTGGAATTGCTCTCTTGCCTCGGCCTTGGAAGGCCTAGTCACCGGCAGGAGGGCCTGTGGGCAGGGCCACTTTCTTTCTTTGGGGAGCTGGAAGAGACAGTTCCCCCAGGCCACCCCAAACCCTGAGCAAGGCCTCTGTCCCTCCCTGCAGCCTCCTCAGGAGGCTGAGGGTGGCATGGTGCCCCGCAGTCCCACGCCCTGCTTGGCCTCCCGCCCCCCTCCTGATTAGATTAAGACCCAGCCTTCCGCTCCTTGCTCCCTTCCTGGGCAGAGGAAGTTTCATCTCTGCCACAGCCCTCCCGCCCTCTGCTACGCCCACCGAGCTCCTAGGGGCTCAGGCACATCTTGTCCCTGGCCAGGGACTTCTCTGAGGGGCACTGGACAGTGGGGGGCGGGATGGCAGGGTGCAGCTCTTTGCAAAGACTCTGGATTCTGCCCCAGCACCACCCACGCACGCACGCACACACACTTCTCCTCGCCCAATGGCTGTGCCCAGGCCGCGCGCACCTGCGGCTCTCATGCCTGGCGCTGAAGCTCACGCTCTTGCAGACAGGCTGAGAGGACCCAGCCCAGCCTTGTGAGGCTCCGTGCCAGCTTCTGCGCCTCTAGAGAAGCTCCGGGACAGCAGCGAAGTCCCCGCCCACCTGCCGCCCCTGTGCAGGCTGCCTGGCTGGAGCGAGGCTTCCTTGGGGCTGAGCTCCGTGGCGGCTCCCGGGGGCGGCGCTGGGCAGACAGCCACGGCTCCCCGGAACACACTGGGCGCAGACGTCAGCTGAGTGGGTGAATGTAGCCTGGAATAAACCGGGCCCTCCCTCGGGGGAGAGCCAGGCACGACAGGGATGAGGCCGCGAAGGTGGGGAGGAGACGGGGGGGGGGGGGGGGGGCGCCTGGGGCGCCGCCCTCTCCACCGGGCCTGAACCCACCTGCACGCTGCAGAGTCCCAAGGACGTGGCCCCTGCACCCTCGGCCTCCGGGTGGGCCCCCGCAGTGGGGACAGTGGGGACTGCAGAGGCCTCAGCCCCCCTCCTCTTAGTCCAGGGCTGGAGGGGACCGGCAGCAGTTGTTTTTTTGCAGTATCAGGGATCGAACTCAGGACCTTAGCTATCTCCCTGGCCAGCAGCTGAATTTTAAATGCTTGTTTCTTTGGTTTGCTTTTCTGTTTTTGTTTTTAATTCGGTCTTGCAATGTAGGGCAGGCTGGCCTTGAACTTATGTTGATCTGCCTCCCTCAGCCTCCCAAGTGGTGAGATGCGCACCACCTGAAGGAGGTAGGGGGCCAAGCGCTTGCCTGGCAAGCGTGAGGCCCTGAGTTCAATCTCTGGTACAGGGAAAAAAAAAAAAAAAAAAAAAGCTCGGTTGGGAAAAGGAACCACCGGATGGGCCTGGTGAGTCTGAGAGGGCTTCCTGGAGGGGGTGGGGCCAGAGAGCCTGAAGCCCAAGAGGGACATCTTGATCAATGTGGGGCCCCGGGCTCAGGTGGGTCTGGGTCCCACCTGCAGCTTGGGAGGGAAGGCATAACCACCTGGCCTGGGTCCCACCCACCTGCTGTCACCGCCCACCCACTGTCACCGAGGACAGCCCTGCTATGTGCCAACACGTGGGGCCCAGGCTGCGCACACACTGGTCGGGCAGCCACGTGTGTTTGGGATGCGCAGGATGATCGTGGGGCTCTGTGAACACACTCAGGTGCGTGGGTGCCATGGGCGTCTCCTCCGGCTCTGCTCCCAGCTGAGCTTGCAGTCTCTCTCTTTACTGAGCCAGGGTCTCACTACTTCAGGCTGGCCTGGCCTTGAACTCCCTGCGTGGCCCAGGCCAGCCTCCAACTCAAAAGGATCCTCCTGCTTCAGCTTCCTGAGTGCTGCAGTCACAGGCACACAGTAACTCAGGCAGAAAGCTCTGGGGTACAGGGGGATCCCCCCATGTCACAGATTATATCAACAGCTGGGCAGCTGGCTGTTACCCTGGAGTCCTCTGACTGGAACAGGGATCCAGAGCAGGGGCGCCCCCACCAGTGTTGGGGAAAATCCGAGGCCCCGCCTGGCATCTGGTGCCTTCTGTTCTGCCTGCCCGGCCTCTCTTCCAGTGTCTGCCCAGCTGCTCTGCAACCAGGGTGGAGCCCAACAGTCCCGGGCACCCCCAGGAGCTGGGCTTATAGGGTCATCCCTGCTTCAGTGTCCCGGGGACACCTGGCATCAACACCTTGTCCTTTATCCCCAGCTCTCCCTTCCTGGGCAGCCCCAGCCCTGCTTCCTGTCCTGGCAGTTGCCACCCCAGGTCACTCCTCTGTCGCCTCAGGTGTCCCCAGCAGAAGGGCAGTGCCCAGCTGCTTCCAGGAAACCTAGGGTCAGAAAAGAGGCCTCCTGTCCTCACTTTGGGTCACAGGGCTGGGCGAGCAGAAGACAGGAAGAGAAGATTGTTCCTGGGCCGAGCCCACCCTCAGCTCTCCCTTTTTTCTGTGGCCACTGAGAGAGAAAGTGGGGAAGAGAGGAGAGGAGGGTGTCTTGTGCTTATGTTTTAAGTACTCAAACTCAGAGAAAACCAGCACCACGCTCTCCTCTGCGTTTTGTCCTTAATAGAGCCTGCCTGTGCCTAACACTCTCCCACCACTCTCATTAGCACACGAATGTGTATGTGCGTGCACGCACGCACGCACACACACACACTCTCAAGGAGTTGCGCCCACGCTGTTGGCTCCAGGGTGGGCCGGTGTGGGTGGCTGCAGCCCTGTCCCTGGAGGTATCATAGGCCAATCACACCTCCGTGGGTTTCACGTGAGCCTCGCCCCGGGCGGGCCTGGTATCGCCAGGTGAGTAGGAGGCTGGGGCAGCTGTGCTGGCCCTATGCCAACAGGGAAGGGAAATTGGCCCCTACCTGGGCACATGTGGGTGACTCAGTTTACCACTGCAGAGGGAAGGACCCCGAGGCCCCCTGAGGTCGGGGACGCCTTATTTTCTGGAGGTGCAGCGCAGCGTGGAGCACAGTGAAGGTCTGGCTGGGGACTTGGGTCCTGGCACCTGGAACCCTGGGCTGTCGGAAACAGGCGCGGGGGCAGCCAGGTGGTGTCCCCTGTGAAGCAGCTGGGCTGTAATTGCTGTAAGTCGGTGATGGTAGTTGGCGGCAGGTTCAGCTCCTGTGACAGCCATCGGTTAGGGCTGCCCAGTGTGGTGAGGAGAGGCAGGCCAGGGAGCAGGTCTTCCTTTGCTGTGTTTTTCCTTGTAATCCCGGGGAGGAGGGAGCCAGGGCTTGACAGGAGGCAGCAAGCTCTCTTCCCTGGCTGCATACCCAGCCCTTTTCTTTCTTTCTTTCTTTTATTTATTTATTTATTTTTTTTTTCTTTTCAAAGTTTTATTGATAAACATATAGCAATGAGACAGTTTCAAATCAAATCGAAAGTTTCTTTCTTTTTTTTTTTTTTTTTTTTTTTTTTTGGCGGAACTGGGGATTGAACTCAGGCCCTTGTGCTTGCCAGGGAAGCACTTATTCCGCCGAGCCATCTCCCCAGCCCCTCCCAGCCCTTTTCGTCTTCTTTTTTTTTAAAAAAAAGAATTATAATTTCTTTT